GAATTTTCCAGACGTGTGTTGATGTCTTGATTCATAAGCATATCATGATGGCTATAATTAAGTAGGTCAACTATTCATGTGTCAATTTTATAACTCTATATTATTAGCAAATGGTGCATGTTGCCAATATCTAAGAATATGAAATATTTCAAGTGAAACATCTAGTTAATAGATTATAACGTCAAGTTGGCAAAAGATTAAAGGGTGATTATTTCATCTCCTTTATGTATACATATATATACGAATATTCTGATTTAAAATATAGTTTAATAGTTTGAATTAGTATTGTTATTGTATTATTTATTCAATTTTTTTTTAATTTAAATCTCAACACGAAAGGTATTTTTAAGTTCAAATATTTATTTTTTAATTGGCATGTTATCATATAACTAGTGTTGGGAATAAATAATCATTTTTGAGTTAAACAAATCTCCTTATGCTACGTATCATACGGCGAGGTGAGACTCTTCGCATTTTTGTTAGAACTTATTCTTCAATAAAAGTTATAGATAAGTTTGAACCTGAATCTGCAATGGTCCAAACAGTTAGGTCAAGCCATCCACACTTCAAGTAGTGTATCCTGCTACACGGAGTAACTGCGATCCGAAGTTGAAAGGGGTCCATCGCTCATCATAATAACCCGGAGACAAGGCACGGACTCCGAGTTATCGTATCAAGAACTCAAGCAAGGTATAAAATATCTCTTATAAAGTGTGAAGTTCAAAATCTTCTATATATTAATGTTTGAATTCTAAGTTAAAAGGTAAAATCATTTTCACTTATGTGTGTTAGGATAAAAACATGTGGACAATACTTGGAGAACCGATTAAAGTATAAAAAAACTAATTCTGAGGGAGCGCCTCGATGTCCGATTGGTCGTGTCAAGCGCTGCCACCGGTACGAAGGATCAGGTGCAATATAGCAGAGCTGTATAGTCGACCAAATGGTACAAGAAGACGAAGAAAGTAGATGAAAAACACTCGAGTACACCGTACCGGGTTAAGCTCAGGAATCCAAACCCGACCCAACTAAGGAAGCAGAGCCGGTATCCGAGCCCGGACAGATAAAA